ACTCGGGCATTGATCTAACTCGTCATTATATATATATATATATTTTTTTTTTTGAATTTTAGAAACAAAATATGTATATATTAATATAAGATTGTGGTAAATATTTATGACGGGATACAATATTATTAAAAATTTAGAGGTACAATATCTTACATATGATTTATTTCGTTCTATTAATATTTCCACCCATACTCTATTTTATTTTTTGGAAAAGTATTTTCAAAGTCACCGTTATTTTTGCCTAATTAACTGACAGTGAACATTCCTTCAAAGTCGCTATTTTCTTCTTCTTTTTCTTTATTATTAAGTCTTTTTAAAGTAAGAAAAAAAAAATATTTTCACTAAGATAAAATCTCTTCAAAGTTCAAACATAACATCAGTAAATTCCGGAAAGTAAAAACATCATAAGAAAAATGGTTATTTTTTAAAATAAAAACGGTTATGTTTTTAATTTTTCAAAAATTTAAATAGGCCACGAAACTCTTCAGAATCCACAAAGAATCCTTCAGTGGAGAATCATTCCACATCAAAATCACTTCCCCTCCTCACTCTCCAACTCATCATACTCCTTTCCTTCCCCGTAGTAAAACTCGGGTCGTCGTGCCACCCGACCGACAAACGAGCCCTCCTCGAGTTCAAGAAAACGATAACCGACGACCCGTCACACCTTCTCCATACGTGGGCCCCACACACCGACTGCTGCACCCAATGGGAAGGAGTTTCGTGCGACCCCATAACGGGTCGGGCCATTAACCTCACCCGCCCGGGCCTCTTCTCGGACGATGACTCGCCCGTCGACACTTCCATGTCCGGAAAACTCTCCCCCTTCCTCGGCAACCTCACTTTCCTCCGACTCCTCGACCTCAGCAACCTCAAATACCTAAGTGGGCCCATCCCAACCGAACTCGGCCGCCTGGCCCACCTGACCCAAATGTTCCCAACACCAACAGCCTCACGGGCCCGATTCCCGCCACTTTTCGAAACCTGGCCCGTTTGAATAAATTGTTTCTTGATGATAACCGCCTCTCGGGGCCCATCCCATCCGACCTTTTCATCGGCATGACCTCGCTTACGGATTTGGGCCTCTCGTCGAATGCATTGTCCGGCACGATACCTCCGTCGGTCGAGAAATTGGCCTCGCTCACCAGCCTCGACCTCCATGGGAATAACTTCTCGGGAGACGTGCCCGAAGCAATCCGCGGGCTCAAGAATCTGACGTATGCCGATTTTTCCGGCAACCAGTTGACCGGAAAAATCCCAGAGTCCATCGGCGGACTTTATTTGCTCGAGGTTTTGTACCTCAACGGCAACGGATTCACCGGAAAAATCCCGGAGTCCATCGGCCGGCTCATATCACTCCAGTTTCTCCGTTTGTCGGAAAATAATCTGACAGGGCAGATACCGCCGTCGATCGGGAACCTGACAGGGCTCAAAAGCTTGGTTTTCGAAAACAATCAGCTAAGTGGAAATCTGCCTGAAACACTAGGCCATCTCATTACACTAGAAAGCATTTACTTCTCTAACAATCACTTCACAGGAAAAATTCCTCCGAGTATGGGGAATCTGAAGAATTTACAGAGCCTGGATTTATCAAGAAACCAACTTTCAGGCCCAATCCCAGTTGAGTTCTTGAAATTAAAGTCGCTACAAGATCTTGACCTGTCTTTTAATCCTTTAAGGCTCGAAAAATTGCCCGATTGGCTTAAAAGCTTAAGCCTTTTTCGACTGCTGCTCGCGAGCACAGGGCTCAAGGGGGAACTGCCCAACTGGCTGTCTTCGTCTTCTTCCCTTTCGACTCTTGATTTGTCGAGTAATTCCCTAAAAGGGAAACTACCTTCATGGATTGGTAACATGACAAACCTCTCCCTTCTAAATTTGTCCAACAATCATTTCAACTCCTCTATTCCAGTCGAATTCAAGAACCTCGTCCTCCTAACCGACCTCGATCTCCACTCGAACAACCTCTCCGGCAATTTAAACACGTTTTTCGTGAAAGCCTCCGATTTCCCGCGCGGGCATTACTCTTCGATCGACCTTTCTCACAACATGTTTCGCGGGCCCATCGACGAAGACATCGGGGAAAAGCCCGTCATGGAAGAAATCGAGACTTTGATTTTGTCCCACAACCCTTTGGGCGGGAAAATACCGAAATCGCTCGGGAAGTTGAGGTATTTGACGAGGGTCGAGA